GTCATCAAGAACCTATAAAGCCCCAAAATCCGACTGACTGACTCCCTCACTCATCAATCATCAAGAACCCATATAGCCCCAATCCGACTGACTGACTCACTCACTCATAGAAATGTTTGGGGTCAAGGAGTGGCCGTAGAGACTTGCGGTTTTTTCCATTCACCTCTATCCTTCTCAAAGCAGTCTTCAATATTTTCCGGACCTTGTATGCACCTATTTACTGCCACAGTAGCCAATGCAATACAAGCTATCTATTTGGGCAGTAAAAGTAGCTTAATTTTATGGTCAAAAGCTGTTAAATAGACCTTTCAAAGAAGCAGTACATTTACCTCCTTAGAAAATTTGCCTTGCGGACTTACTGAAAATACTTCGGCACGCGCACCACACATGCGGGGGTCTGGGTCACTGACTCACTCATAGAAATGTTTGGGGTCAAGGAGTGGTCGCAGAGACATGCGGTTTTTTCCATTCAATTCCAAATTTTATGGGAAAATCGGGAAAAATCCCAAAAGTTGGAAATTCTTTACCGTTTCCGAGCAAATCTACCTTATCTTCAAAAAAGGGGACCAAATTCCTCACTGTTTCCGAGCAAACCCACTCAATCTTTGAAAAAGGGGACCGACCGACTAAAAATTTTTATTCGCCCCATCGGTAGGTCTGGTCGAGACATTTCCGAAACTGTGCCGCAATCGGGTCCCCGGCACCGGCAACATACACTAAATCAAGCATCAATTATCATCATCAAGAACCTATATAGCCCCTAAATCCGACTGACTGACTCCCTCACTCATGAAGAACCTTTATAGCCGCAATCCGACTGACTGACTCACGCACTCATCCACTGACTCACTCACTCATAGAAATGTTTGGGGTGAAGGAGTTGTAGAGACTTGCGGCTTTTCCCATTCGATTCCAAATTTCATGGAAAAATTGGTTAAAGTCCCAAAAGTTGAAAATTTCTCACCGTTTCCGAGCAAACCTACTCAATCTTCTCAAAAGGGGACCTAATGACTTAAAAAAATTTTATTCGCCCCATCGGTAGGTCTGGTCGAGAATTTCCGAAACTGCAGCAGTCGGGTCCCCGCCACCGGCATTTGGGTAAATCATCATCAAGAACCTATACAGCCCCAATCCGACTGACTCACTGACTCACTCACTCATAGAAATGTTCGGGGTCAAGGAGTGGTCGTAGAGACATGCGGTTTTTTCCATTCACCTCTATCCTTGTCAAAGCAGTCTTCAATATTTTCCGGACCTTGTATGCACCCATTGACTGCCACAGTGGCCAGTGCAATACAAGCTACCTATTTGGGCAGTTAAAGTAGCCTTATTATATGGTCAAAAGCGGTTAAATAGACCTTTCAAAGTAGCAGGACATTTACTTCCTTAGAAAATTTGCCTTTGGTCACCACGGACTTACTGAAAATACTTCGGCACGCGCTCCACACATGCGGGGGTCTGGGGGCGGAGCCCCCAGCGAGCAGCGCGAGTTTTCATAATATAAAGGGAAAGCTACAGGATATAAGTCAAATGAGCTCGAATGAGGTTGTCCCTTCTTTGACCATTTCAGACCAAAAAAATGCTTCAGCGAAGTCCTCTTTAATATATTTGAGAAAAGACTTCCATTTTACCTCCTATCTGGACCCAAGGAATGCTCCGAAGAACATCTATATAAGCGCTGAGAAAATCTCTCCGAAAAAAATGGAAAATGAATGGAGTCTCCATGAACGTGATTATAGGGTTTTTCTCCATAAAATTTCGGAGCTAATTTCTAACAGTGTACCCCACGCATTCAAGGTTAGGTTCATACGTTCATAGGTTTGAGGGTAAGGAGGTTTAACATAACCCTGCTCAATAGATCTAAATTTGACAACATTTTCCCCCTGGATTTCGGTAAAAATAGCTGATGATCGATGAATGTTTGGGTGCACCGATGAGTGATAATCGTTAAAATGGGAGTGAAAACTTTCAGCAGCATTTGTAGTCGTGGGATCATAACTGGGTTCAGCTGCCCAAAGTTCGGGGGGAAACCTGCAATAAAGATAAATGTCTCAAAACAACATGGGAGATGGGAGAAATCACAGAGAGTACCCACCGTCACCTGATTCTTCGTCCTTCTCGTAGATCTGCCTCAGTTCAGTTATTCCTTCAATTTTCCTGATCAAGGATTGGCAATAGTGAAACTTGCACGCTCGCACAGTGGCTTCTGGGAAAAGTTTCTGTAGAACATTGATGGCTGCCTGCTCAAAATCGACCATAATGCAAGCTGGTTTCAATTCGTTGTCTGCCGCTACTTTTCTCAACAGTTCGAACATTTTCTCGTAGATAAACTGAGATTTAGAAGGCAGGCAAAAAAAAGCTAGAGGCAGATTGAAACCGTTTACATGGCCATGGACGGTGTACAGTTGAGCAAATTTGGCTGGGGCATAATCAAAAGTACCATCCATCATCCAGATTTTCGCCGTCTGAAGAATCCTGAAATAATGCAATTTATGATTACCGTCAAGTCCCCTAAATGTGAACACGAACCCTAAAGTGGGACATTTTGACTATTTTCCCTATTTTAGGCCGTAAACGGCCAACGCGTGAATATTTTGCGAGGTAAAAAATGTTTTTGAGACGGTAGGACCCCTCCAAGACCATATCCGCACAAAGTGTCTTGTTCCCGCTCATACCCCCTCCCCCAAAAAATCTTGAAAATTGGAATTTGATGCAGAAAAAAAGAGAAGTTTTTTCAGACGTCTAGCGCGGATTCGGGGCTTCGAGCCGTTGATGCTCGGACCATTCTAGACTTCAGACATGTTGTAGCGCGTTCTTTTGTCTACAAGATGCACTTTAGAAAATTTGTTTCCGACGCTTCGTTTTACGGTGGGAAGCAATCTTCTGAGGGGCTGTAAAGTGGGACACATGCATTTCCTTCGTTTCTTTTAGGTTTTGACCGATTCAGAGGCGTTACATTCACCTCCAGCTTCCTACAAACGCTGCCTTGTATATATTAGGTTGCCAGGTCGGTTTGGAGGCCCAGGCAGTCGGGCAATTACGGTTATTCGGTACGCATTAAGTCAGCACAAAATTTAGTCAATGTTTGAAAGCAAATGCTTCCTCTTGGCTTAACCTACAAAGATATCGTTATCGACCATAAGACAAATCTTGCGTAAAATCATATTTTGAACAAAAATTTTCTTAGAAACAAGCTAGGGCCCGCCCTTCCGTCGAACCGAGTTGCCAGCTCCGCTTCGCTGCGCCGGCAACTCGGTTCGACAGGGGGCCGGCCCAGCTTGGCCTGCCGGCGGCCTTTTCTCGGGCCTTCGGCCCTCGCATCAGACCCAACTTTGCCAGTCGAAGGCCCGGGCCTTCGGCCCGCTCGCATCACACACCCCGTGAGCGGGTAAAGCAAAGTTATCGATGTACCATCGTGACTTAGGCCCGCCCTTCTATTCACAATATGCAATAGTCCTTACACTTTTTACTCCAACTGTCCTTAGAATATGCCCGTTTCATTTGTCTCTTCGCCCTCATTCCGAAAATACCCATATTTGCCATGCTCCTGCAACTCCTTGCAATAGAGGCACAGCAGGAGCGCAAAACGAGTCCGTCGCACTTTTTCCCATAACTCATGAAGGCGGGCTCCTGGACCCCCTTCCGACCCCTCGTTGAAGAGGTCTTGCCAAGACCTATCGAAAACTTAAGTAAAAATTTTCAGTCGGTCGACCCCCTTTTTTCAAGATCCTGATGTGACTAATAGACGAAGTCGGGCTCCTGGACCCCCTTTCCGACCCCTCGTTGAAAAGGTCTTGCTGAGACCAATCGAAATCTGCAATAATTTTTTTAGTCGGTCGACCCCCTTTTTTGAAGATCCTGATCTGGCCAACTTGTAAAAGCGACCAATGGGGTCGGGACCAGGTCCATTCATCTTGTCTCGTCGCCCCGATTCCAAAAATACCCCTATGTGCCCTGCTAGCACCAATAATGGCGGAAATCCCCCTCCCCCTCATGTAAACCATGATGCACCTGCAGCAGCCCTTGTGCGACCCGGACGGGATTTGCACCACCGGATTATTTGTTTGGACGGTACTCCTGAAGTCCCCTCCAAATCTGGTTACTCTAGCTCAACTCCTTCCTTGTACACAGACGCCAACAACAACAACAACAACAACAACACACAGACACAAAGGCAAATGCATAGGCCCTCCCCCTATTTTTTGAATAGAAGGGCGGGCCAAAAAAGTTGCCGGGTGAACGGTTTTTAATTTTCAAAATTTCAACATGTATTTCTTGCCGTGCATTTCGAAACTTATAAAATATGACCTGAGCAAAAAATTTTATAAAATGGTTTTGGTCAGAAATTAAATTTTAAGACCATTTTGTTTTATTGGTTTTCGCCGTATTTCAATTGGTTAAGGCGCTACGGCTGTTTCTAATTTAAATATATCTAAGGATATCTAATTGATTGAAGAGGCTCATATCAGCTTAACCAGTCGAGATATCGAAAAAGACTTCAGAACCAATCTTGCTTCAAATTTAATTTAGGACATAATACATTTTAAGAAATTTTTTGCTACTGCAGTTTTTGGGCGAAAACGAATGAACGTGTCCCACTTTAGGGGACTTTGTCCCACTTTAGGAGACTTTGGCTCCTAAATTGGGACACGGTTCTTGCTGCTCCTACTGGAGCCCCATGGGCTGAAAAAAAATTTTGTTTTCGGTAAAAGACGTGTTTTGACATGAAGATTCTTAAATCCCCGGCGATTTTCGGTGTCATCGTTATTCTGTGAATAACAGACGATTTTCCGTAAAAATCGTCCCACTTTAGGGGACTCGACGGTATTGGTGCGGGGCGCCTGTCCACCTGCGGGACAACAGCTCCATTCTAACTGTCTCTCATCGAACTGACTCGTCACTTTGTCATTTGCACTTGGGCGAAGTAGAGTCATGTCTCATTTGAATCAAATCACTCTCAATGGAGTATCAAATAGGCTGGTGCATTGCATCTATTTATATCTGTCAATCTAATTTAAATTATTTTTCAACGTTTGTCTATAGGGTGGGTGGTTGCTTCTTGCTCATCTCTTTTCATCGCACTCCACGCATCGAGCCACCAGTGGATGTATAAGTCAGCTGACGTGTCATCTCCAGCCACCAGCAACTTATCAGGTATTTTGCCCATTTTCCCATCGACCCATAGTGAATTCTGTCTCACCTATGCTCCTCTTCAGTTCTCTTCTACATGCTTTCAAAGAAAACAAAGTCAACTCTAAAGCTAATTTTTTGTTTCAAATATTTTGCTTTGGTTCCTTTTGGGCGTTGGTTTCCTGTCTTAAAAATTTGTGTTCTGAGGTGGCTGGCTTGCTGCTGGCCATATACTTTGTCCTTGGGACCTCTGCGTAATGCTCATCTGTTTGTCATTTTTTCAGGAAGAACTTTATTCGGGTGTCTTTGCTGTGAGAGTGTCTCGTGCCCTATTGAACAAGATGTTTCAACTAAGTTGCGTGCCAATTAAAGGTATGAAATTTAGTGACACTGTGGGGACTTTGTCATAGAGTCATCGCAGTTACATTATGTTTCCCTGTTGCAGGTGAACCCGAGTGGAGGCGTTGCTGTTCTCCGCTGCTCTCTGCAGTGTATTGGTGTCCAGTTTTGCGCATGTAGTGCTGTGTTGTAATTGAAGCAAGTGAGGTGTATTCTGTGATGTTTCACCGGACTTTTGAAGTGAGTGTGCCTTTTTATGGAATGATGCTTTGTCTTTGTGATAAATTTATAAAGCTGATGCTCTCTTCATGTGCGATTTGTATTGACTTCCTTGGACACCCTTTTTTAAAATGTGAAGAGGCACCAAATTAACTTCTCGTAATTATTGTCAAGAAAGTATTCAGTCAAAGCTTCTTACTCATTTTTCCCTTTTTTTATTTTTGTCTGTGGAAAAATAACTATATTATAATGCAACAAGATGTTTAGTGGGCGATAAAAATAATTTTCAATGTAAACCTTACTCACACATTTAGAAGTTTTGCAGCATAATGTTTGAATGTTCAGGGCCCATTTGTATATGAGAAACAATGTTAAGATACAGTCTCTCTGCCCAAGAAAAATATTTTGCCATAAATGGTGACAAAAAGTTAAACTTTAGTGAAGCGTTTATCATGCATTGGAGTCACAAGTGGTCATATTTTCCTTGTCCTGCAAATCTTGTCACAGCACTAAATTTTGTGTAGCGGTCTTAGTATTTCTGAATCCCTTTGTTTTTAGCCCTGTTTAGTCTTATGACCATCTTTTTTTCTGTCCCTTTTCACATTTCATTGTTAAGTACATGTATTGTTTTCTTTTCATTTTTACCTTATGTTTGTAAAGCTAACAAATGTGTTTTTTTTTTTTTCAGCAAGTATTTCTGTGGTGTAATTATAGATGAAGATGGATGGAACACATTTCACAGGCTGATGCACTTCCCCACTTTAACAAACCTTTTCAGCAATATATCACCATAGGGTTTGTTTCATCTCTTTTATCTGGAATAATTATACATATTAATATTAAATATCGTTGTTATGTATTGATGAAGATTTTATGTGTCTTTTGATATTTCAGGTACCAATACCAAAGGTTTTCCAAGTCATCTCCCTGCAAGCAACAAACATCTGTAAGGTTCCGCTTTTCCTAAGCATCTTTTTCATTTGCATGTTATGTATTTGTTTGGATTATGTTCACCAACACTTTTGTCCCATTTATCTCTTTCAGTTTTGCTGTGGTCTGCTTTTCAAGACTGGCCTCCTCTCCCTGTGATTTTCTGTAGCATGTGATGTGTTTGTTGCTGCTACTATTGACAACGATCCCAATTCTTTTCAGTGTAAGGGGAAGTGTAGAAGATGTATGTCAAAGAAGGAAACATTTTGGATAGTATATCTGTTTATTTTTTTCTGTGCAGAGATTTGTCAGGTGATAATTGTTTTAAACAATCAAGCTCCTCCTTGCCTCCAGATGGAGCTTCTCTTCACTCTCGAATGCTGAAAATGAATCACTGCTGTACAGCAAGAAGAACAACGCTATCAGTGGAAATTCATTATTGCAGCATATGTCTTCTCTTGGCCATCAGCAAGTCATTTGGTATGTTACCCTATTTCTTTCTTCTTTTGTTGCTTACTGGTAGCCTTTCAATACCTTCACTATATTTCATGTAAGGACAATAAAAAGGAGGTCTGAGGGCAATTCCTTTATAGACATTTGGTACTTATTGAAAAACAGAGCAGTTGTGGCATCGTACAGTCTAAACACAAGTAATTATTCATATGACACATTGTTAACTATAGTGCATGATTTTACTTATTTATTTTGGCATATTCGTGCTGCTGTTTACATAATTTTACCTTTAGCGGTAGGCTTGTGCCCTTTTTACGTGATCTCAAAATTCCCATATCAAACACTGTACGTATGGGTTATTAAAAAAACATCCACCTTTGCTCTTCTCTTTTTCGTTTTTATTGCATCCTCTCTACGGATGACAAATTCAATTATAAAGATAACTTGTCTTTGAATTTATTATTTGTGCCCTGAGCTGGCTGGTTTGCTTTGCTGCTTTCGTGCAGCTACCCCTTCCTAATGCGTGTCTTTTTTGTCCCTTTTTCAAAAAGAATGTTCTTTGAGTGATGTTGCTGGAGAAAGTCACGAGCCCTCTTGAGCACAAGCATAACCGAGGTGGGTGTCCAACAGTGGTACGATGTTCATAGTCACTTGTGAGAATGGAATCATCTTCATTATATTGTGTTTACATGCTGTAGGTGAATCCAAGTGGATGCGGAGCTGCTGGTGTGTATAGCTATGTTGCTTTTCTGTTCCTTTCTCTGCATCGAAATGGGGTTCAGATTTGCACATATTGTGTGGTGTGTAAATGAAAGGGGTCAGGGGTATTCTGTTGTGTGTTGTGCGTGAAGTTGTAGGTGTGTGCTGTCAAAAGATTAAAAAAATTACTATGATTGGACAACACTCTTGTCATTCTCTCTTAAATTTTGTTTGATGCTGACTGTATGCACTCTATTTGCTTGTTGCGTTATACTGTTGCTACAATAATTTTAATGGAAAGATTCAATAAGAGCTACTTCCTGGTTCCTTGTTTTTTCTTGGTAAATACAAGTATTTATCTTCAATTTCTTTGTATTCTTTCTTTTCTTTCATATTCTTTGTCAACCATGCTTTTATGTCCCCTCACAATAATACATTAATGGGCAAGTTTCCCTGTGTCAGTGTAACATAAAATGTAGTGAGAGCATGGAAACAGATTTTCAAAAGAAACCAGAGATTTACCTTATCATGCGTTCGGAAGCTGTTGCACTAAATGTTCTAATGTTCAGTTCACTTAGGATGGGCCCCTCAAGAAGGTAGCAAGTAGGTTCCAAAGAAATCACCCAAAGTTGAAACAATGGCCATTGGACTTGGTGTGGTGAGTTCTCAAATTTAAATTCAACCCTAAATGTATGTATTTGTTTCTGAGAAAAGTCATGCTTTATTGTTTTGTACAGTGTCACCAAAAGTCTTTCTGCCTCTTTCATTGGAACAGAAAGTCTTGAAAGATAATTGTGGGTCATTTTTAAGATCCCGCGCGGAAAAATCTGCAGTCTGAATTGTACCCAGGAACTGATGTCGCACTATACTTTGAAGTGAATAAGGGGGGCAGTTGTAGTGTGATTCAATTGTTCTTATAGTGTTCACAAATGTGCCATTTTGTTTGTAGTATGAATTATGCATTGGCCACAGTATAACTGCAGATAACCGGCTGCAGTTCGAGTGCAGTCGAGTGCAGTTTAAATGCAGTTTAAGTACACTCAACTGTACTTGAACTGTGATCTAACTGCCGAAAAAGTAGTAGTTTTTTCGAACCGTTTCAGTTTCAACTGCAGTTTTGCGGACAGTTCATAACAGTTTTGACAAATATACGATTTTGCTAAAAAAAATTCAAAATTTTTCATGTTTAGCCTCTTAATGCCTCCCTCCCTTTTTTTTTTTTTTTTTTTTTTTTTTTTGGAAGTTGTTGTCGTAGTTTGTCAGTCAGTAGTCGAACCCGGGCCACAGGGTTGTCAGACCGCAACGCTGCCAACTGCGCTACGGAGACGTGTGAGAGTCTGGCGCCAGCGCGGGCGATCCCACTGACCATGCCCGCGCGCTCAGGTAGACGAGGGATTACCGCAACTCCGCGCTCGGCGCGCTCCACTCCACGAGGAATTTTCCCGTCGTTTGCCGAGTCAAGCTGATCTGGAGGCAGTGCGGAGCTTCACTCGGCCCAATTTGGAACATTTGAATCATTCCATGGCCGTGACGTGAAAGGGCATTCAGGGTGAAGCTGGAAGTACCCTTTGACTTCTACAGCATTGAACTTTAATTGTAGTTTTTGACTGCATTCCCAATTGACCCCGGGACTGCATATGTCATTCACTTTTCTTTATTCTCCATGTGTAGGAAAAAGAGCAAATTAAAAGTATATTTGTCACGACATTTGGATTTGAAAATAAGTTGAATTTTGACTGTGGTCCTAACTACATTCCGGACTGCCAGAGCAAACTGCAGTTTGATCTGGCAACAAAAACGCAGTTAAAGGACAGTTTCTGTCCACTTCAAAGCACATAATTGACTGAAGCCAGCAATACAGAACTGATGGCACTTTAAATGCAATTTAAGGGCAGTAAAGAACTGCAGAGAGGAACTGCAGATGCGCCACTGCAGTTTCAAATACAGTTTGACTGCTGATCCTTTCGTGCGGGATGTGCACTTCTGTTGAGGAAATTTTCAAATTCACCTTATGCTGAATGATAATTCTTTTTTAATTTCTGTAATTTTACAAAGTTTCCTTCTTGCCCTTTTTTCATACTTTTTCTTAATATACAAAACTTTGCTTGATATTCCTAGCAAGACAACTTACGTATGTCTGAACCAGAAATGCAAGAATACTCTCTACAACAAAATCTAGTCGAATAAATGTGGTAGTGAAGTGTATTTGTTCATGACCCGATTAGCAACTTTTCTACAAACATACTTGTTTGGAGCACAAAAAAACCTCTTGTTCCAAATTGGAAATCCTGCGGAAATTTACAAGTTTGTCAGGCTAACAGTTCGTTTCTTGTAGAGTGATATACCCTAATTGTATCATGGATTCGAGCAATGTGGTCAACTATGCACTTTAACGAACCCACCCTTTCAACTACATAGAGAAACAGGCCAAATCCCATAAATGGAAAAAAGGTTTTGTCTCCACACATCCCAAATTATCACATGAAATTCACAGCAATGCTGCATTAATACAGTCATGGGTTAACATCTTAAAAATAGTTGCTAAGTTACACATTAAAAACATATTGGTAACTTGGACCGGAATCATGACTTGACTTCACTGACACCCCAAGCCCCAAGCACGGACAACTTGAGTTCTCCAGCCATGCCTGGCCACTGGTTGGTCCATGTTTTCAACCCTGATTCCTTTATGATTTGAAAGTGGTTGTCTTTCCTTATAAATCTAGATTTTAACACTATAATTATTGTTCCAACAATCAGGTACTATCTTTAAATCACACTGTACCAGCCACACAAGCTTAACAAAACAGAATACTTATCTTTTCAATAACCTAAGTCTGGTTATTGGCAAAAAGGACCGAGGGACTGTACAATCACATGAAAATCTCCACAGTTCTGCACAAAATTTGACAGCTACAAGTTGCACAAAGACAGCAAATTAGAGATTGGGCCTTCTCTCAACCTAATAATTCACTCGGGTCCTGCATGCTGGGCAGTTTAAAGGAATCCTCTCTGTGCGTCGGGTATCCAGCCATTTTCTTAGGCAGCAGTAATGGAATGTGTGGTTGCACTGTAACTCCGCACGGAAAAGAAACAGGCGCATAGGTCTGATGCATATTACGCATAGATCATCAGCATCTGAAACAATAAGAACACAAATGTTTAATGAAAACAACTGAAGCACTGTGACCCTCAGGGAAGTCTGAACCCTAAACATTTTGATAAAGAAAACGGAGTCATTATAGACACGCAGCGTTTAAATAATAATAACAGGAAAAGTAGCGATATACATCGGCAACTTTGGCCCGTCCCGTACATTAACAAATGTGTGAATTTCGCCTTTGTTTAACCCTGACGTGTTTGAACCTGTGTCTGGGGTTAAAATAGATGTTATTTTCGTCATCAGCGCCCTCAAAAACATAAGAAACAATGCAAAAACTCGAATGAAAAGAAAGTTTAAAATATACCCCACTGGAATTTGAACCCGGGTCCAAACTCCTCCGATTCGCTTGAAACTGGCACCGTTGGTTTTGTCTCGTCGCCCTGATTTCAAAAATACCCCTACATGCCCTGCTAGCCGTATCCGTTGCCGAGATCCTCCTCGACCCCATGTAGACCATGATGCACCTGCAGCAGCGCCCCCGGGGCTCGGATCGGATTTGCTGCCACCGGGCGGTTCTTAGGGTCACCCAAGGAGGCTGCATACCAAATTTGGTCAAGATCGGACCACGGGAAGTCCTCGGACGAACGAACGAACGAACGGACGCACAGCAGGGATCATACTATATGCCCGATCATACTATATGCCCGTCCCTCCGTCATTTTTTTTTACAAAAAATAAACGGGACGGGCCAAAAATGGGTCTTATATACACGCAGCGTGTATATAATATATATACATCTTATTTTCACGCAGCGTGTCTCCAAGGGCCAGTTTTATTATTTACACGCAGAAAAAGTTTTGCTGCGTGTAAATAATATTTTGGCTTTTATTTAAACGCTGCGTGTCTCCAAGGCACCAAAAAATTATTGGCACGCAGGATTGTAAAAAGTCTTCCGACCGGCGACTGAGTCCGGCATGGCGGCTTGGTGGGTGAGTGGGTCCGTGCTTGCACGGGAATTTTTCAGCCCGGGTTCAAGACTTGCCTTCTTCTCAAAAAAAATACTGCGTGTTAATAATGAAAACCGGTGTTGTTTCAACGCTGCGTGTTTATAATAAATTCACATGTTATTTATACGCAGCGTGTCTGCAATTCCAGTTTTATTATTTACACGCAGGAAAAGTTTTGCTGCGTGCAAATAATATTTTGGCTTTTTTTTAAAAACGCTGCGTGTCTCCAAGACCCCAAAAAAATTATTGGCACGCAGGATTGTAAAAAGTCACCCAAACCGGCGACTGAGTCCGGCAGGGCCCTTGGGTTGATGAGTGGGCCCGTGCTTGTACGGGAATTTTTGGCCAGGGTTCGAGACTTCTTTTTTTCTAAAAAAAATTCTGCGTGTCAATAATGAAAACCGGTGTTGTTTCAACGCTGCGTTTTTATAAAAAGGTAGGTTTCGCCAGACCGCCACTGAGAATAAATTTGGTCACCACATCGCCCTTTGAAGGGGTGATGCAATTTCGTGCCAAATTTTGGTGACGAAAAATTCATCCCCACCAAAATTTGGAACAGGCGTTTGGTCCCCCAAAAATTGGGTAACGCCGTCGGCGACGCTGTGAGGTTCCCGATGGCGTCCTTCGGGGGCCACCACGATGACCGGAGGCCTCAACCCCACTTTGGGTCATCGTGATGGCCCGGAAGGCCCTCGGGGACCTTAGGGCGTCACCGACGGCGTTACCAAAAATTCGACGTTTTTATGTGCCAAAATTTTGGTCACCCGGGCTCGTCCCCAAAATTGGGCAACGGTGCGTGCGTTACCCAATAAGGGCGATGGTGGTGACTCTTTCTTCTCAGTGGCGTCTTGTCGTAACAGGTTCGGATGTCTCGCTCCCTGTTCCTCCAACCCGCGCCTGGCGGACCTACCTTGGCTGCGGCGCCAGCCTGCCTTCGGCAGGCCATGGCTTGCCCATCGTCGGTTACTTCTAAATTGTTGCATACTGGGGGCTCCGCCCCGCAGCCCCCCCTTCTTTCCCGATAGAGTTGTTTCATCCACAGATAACACGATCTTGACCCTTGTTACTTTTCAACTTGCCGGGGCTGGGGGCTCTGCCCCCCTGCCCCCCCTTTCTTCAAGGCAGAAGATATTTGCCGGCAGAAAACTCGATTTTCGCCGTTTTTTAGGTGTTTTTCGGCTATAAAAACTGAACCAGTTGAGCTAGGATAGTGAAATTTCGCGTGTGCCGAGCCAAGGACATACCCAAAAAGTGT